GAAAGAAATCTGTGCTCTGAGACAGCACCGTGCGGGGGTCTGGTTCTGCATAGTCTCAAGGAAAACTTGGCAGAATGTATTATCAAAAGAGAATGAATTTCTTCCCTTCAAGCTTTGGATGGGTATCTGAGAATCTACCCAGAACTGGAAAAAGGAACAAAAACAGTGGGTAAAGACGGCATCATGGAAGCAAAGCCCAGCCCCAGGGCCAGGGCAGGGAATGGCTCAGGGGTGCCCCATCACTGACAGAATCTGACATGGCCACTTAGCAGGATACCCAGGGAGCTTTCCTACCACAGGGAAATGTGCACCTACTGCGGGAAACATGAAAGCAGGACGCGATGACCCACAGCGGGACCCCAGCGAGGCACAAATAGCATGGCACAGGAAAACCTAGAAGCTCATCAAAACATTCCGAGATCTCAGGTAAGTGGAAACATGTAACATACTTCTGGTCTGTAAATCTGTCCAGTTTTTGGAAAGAGAAAGGATGGGGTAAATAAATGTCTTTAGTATGAGATTTTCAGGGGGCACTTGCGCTGCCCTCTGGAAGACAGAGTGGGCATCCTTTTCCCTAATTCCTCCCAGTAAGAACTAAAATCCTAGCCATTACATATAGAATATGCACAAGACTCTGGGAGGTGGAGAGGGGAGTCCAGCCGGGACCTCAGCCCTGAGCAATGACCCCATGGGGAGAGCCCTGCCCCACAGACCAACCCTCAGGAACACCCTCCTGGTGAAAATACAGCCCCAGGGGAGCAGGACAGGGGCGGCCCGGTCACACAGTCACTGCTCTTTAACCAGGTGCCATGAAAACGCCAGGCCCCCAGCCTCGCTCACGCCAGCACAGACTGAGTCTGGAGTGCTGCCCACACCAAGCCACAAAGAGGCGTCCTTACACCCTGCTGGGGGGTTCTCAGGGAAGGCCAAGCTGGGAGCCAGGCCTCCGGGTCCTGCTGGCTGGTAACAGATCCCCCCAAGGCCCCAGTCCATGGAGACCCCGTGGGGACCAACAGAAACTCCACCCACACAACCCCCTCAGTGCCAATGGGGACTGAGGGGGAACCCGGCTTCCTCCCCCATGTAGCAGGAATGTTGTGGCTGCTGTCTTCTCCCGCTGGAGCCCTGTCCAGAAAACCAGCTGTGCCAAGGGTTCAAGCGACATCCAGTTTCAAATACAGCACACCACATCGAGGCTTCAACAGGATATCATGCACTGTTCCAAGACCCAGAAAGATCTCAAGCTGAACGAGAGCAAGTCCCCAGGCCCAGCCTGGGGGCCGTCTGCAGGAGGAGGGAACCCTGACAGAAACGCTTCCCTGAGCAATTACAAGGCACTTAAAGGAGAAGCAGAGAGCCTTCTAATGAAAAGAGAAGATACGAAGACCAGCCAAGCGGAAGCAGAACTGAAGTTCCAATACTGAAGAGCCCGCAGATGTGCTCAGCAACAGAATGGAGGAGGCAGAGGAATCAGTCACATCTAAGGCAGAAAAAGAAAACTGTCCCAACTGAACAGAGAGAAAACAAACTGAAAAGGCATGAGCAGAGGCTCGGCTGTCTGCAGAGCTGCAACTAAAGCCCTAAAATCTGCCATCAGAACCCTGGGAGAGAAAGAGGGGGACCAAAAATTACTTGAATTAAAAAATGGCTCAAGATTTCCCGGAGCTGGAAGGAGACATAACCCATAGATGCAAAACCCTCAGGTCCAGAAGCGGAATAAAGCCCAAACTGGTGATAGGAAGAAGTCTGCGCCGAGACACATCATAATTAAACTTCTGAACACTAAATGCAAAAGAAGGGGGAAAAACCTTAGAAGGGGCAGAGAAAAATGGTACCTTTCCCACAGGGGAAAAGAAAATGCAGAAGACAGCATATTCCTGACCGGAAGCCATGGAGGCCAGGAGGAGGGGGCACTGTATTTCTCAGGTGCTGAAAGAGAGCTGTCAACTGTGGGTCCTCTATCAGGAAAGATACCTTCAGGAGGGAAGGGGGGAATCAAGACATTCTCAGATGAGTCAAACTGCATTTGCCACCAGCAGACTTACCTTCAAAGAATGGCCAAAGGAGATCCTAAACAGGATGGAGACAATAAAAGAAGAAACCATGGATTGTAAAAAAGGAAGATAATGATGAGCCGAAATATGAGTAAATACAATAGGCTTTCCTTCTCCTTTCAAGTGCCCTAAGTAACTTTAATAGTTGAATCAAAACTTTAACAATTCTGATATGGTGTTAAATGTACATAGAGGAACCATTTATATCACTTTTATTATAAAAGGGGAGAGTGAAGGGACATAAAGGTTTCTGAACTATATAATGTAGCATCTAGAGCAATTACTAAAAAAAGCTATATTGACAAAGACTATCAGCTTGGGCAAACTTTAGTCAGGCTCCTGAATCTTCTCCCAGGTGTGTCTAAACATCCTTGTAAAATCCACTCTTAGCAGGAAGCCTGCTAAGTGAGCTTAACCAGACCCCTCACCCTATCTGATCGCCCAGATGTCTGATCAGGCTCCTCATGACACCTGACCCTGTGGCCTGTCCAGAGAGCCCTGGCAGGTTGGTTAACCCAGAGTGCCCCTCACCCCGATGTTTCCTCTGTGATTTTCCACCCACGTCACCACCTGCTCCATATAAATCCCCACTCCAGGCTGTATTCAGATGGAGCCACTCTCCCCACAAATTGTAAAATCCCACTGCAGTGGTGCCTGTAGCCACACCGATGGTCTTGAACAAAGCCTGCTTTATCACCTCTGACAAGGGTCACTGAATATTCTTCTTTAACAATATAAAGACACACACTCAACAACACAGTGGCCAATCAAAATGGAATTCTACAAAATGTTCAAATAACCCACTGGGAAAGCAAGAAAAAACACGGAGAAACAAAAAAAAAAACAGAATACATGAGGGAAGAAAAACAGACTTGAACCCTAACATGTCAGTAAGTACATAAAAATATTCGGTCTAAATAGATCAATCAAAACACAGCAACTGGCAGGGCATATGAGAAAAAATGAGTTACATGCTATTGAAAAGAAACTCACTTCAAGCATGTCATACAGGCAGCTCAGAAGTAAAAAGATGAAAGGTGTACAGTATATAATCATTAATCAAAAGGAAGAAGAGCAGCTCATTAGTACCAGTAACACAGACTCCAGAACAAAGAAAAGTAGCAGAGAAGACACTACATAATAACAAAGGGGTCAGTTCATCAGAAAGACACAGCACTGCTGAAGCACGCACACCGAGCAGAGGAGAGGCAGAACATGCAGCACAGCCTCACAGAGCTGAGAGGAGACTCAGACACATCAGTTATTACAGCCACACGTCAACGTCGCTCTCATGGCGGATGGGACCATCAACAGATAGACAAGCAAAGATACAGAAGAACTGAATAGCACCACCAACCAGTAAGTTCTAATCAACATTTACGGAGCTTCCCCAGGCTGATGAAGAGAACTTAAAAAGCTGACAGCTGACACCATGCAGGACGGTGAAAAGCTGAAGGCTTCCCCCCAGATCAGGAGCAAGGCAAGGATGCCTGCTCTCTTCACTCTATGTTGAACACTGCGGGATGTTCTCGCCAATGGAATGATGCAAGAGGAAATGAAGGCAAACTGACTGGAAAGAGAGAGAGAGAGAGAGAGACTATCCTCATCTGCAGGTGGCATGACATCTGAGCAGAAAATCCAAAGGATTCTATTCAAAAACAAACATCAAAAATCTCTTCTTTAACTGATGTGTGACTCCAGTAACTCACAGAAAACAAAGTAAACATACAAAAATCAACTGTATTTCTTACACCAGAAATGAGTATGTTGTCATCCAAATAAAAAAGTATAATGCCATTTACAACTGCTCAAAAACTGAAGTGCTTAGGTGTGATTAACAGAACACGTGCTCAAGGCTGAGACCCACGCAGCACCGACGACAGCAAGCAGAGCAGTGAGCATGCAGAGGGGCACCACATGCAGACAGAGCGGTGTCGACGGTGCAAATGCTGACGCACACAACACAGGCATAACACAATTTCTGCCAAAACCTCAGTAAGACATTTTGTAGCTATGGATAAGACTATCCTGAAATTCACACAGAAAGGCCAAGGAACTAAAACAGCTAACATAAATTTTAAACAGAAAAATACAATGAGAGGAATCAGTCTACCCAATTTCCAGATCTACTATAGTTATAGCAATCAAGTCTGCAGTATTAGTGGAGAGAGGCAAACAGATCAGTGAAACAGAATGGAGAACCCAGGGACAGACCCACACAAACAGCTCAATGATTTTGACAGAACAGCGCAAGAATTTGCTGGAATCAAGATGACTTTCCCAACAAACGGTGCCAGAGCAACTGGGTGCCCACTGGCAGAAAACATGAGCCCCCTGAACTAACTCTTGCAGACCTTATACAAAACGTAGAGATCAGAGACTTAAATGCAAAGGGAGCAGGTGGATCACTGATCATGGACTAGAGGCACCACAGTCTTAAATACAAAATGTGTGACTATATAACTTTTAGGAAAAAAGTGTAAGAGGAAATCTTTGAGATTCAAGACTAGGCAAAGGTCAGCTTTACACCAAAAGCACACTCCTTAAAAGGAAAGCTGTTCGCTCTGCTATGACTCTTTAAAGGGATGGAGAGAGGCTGCAGAGGGAGAGGCAATATTTGCAAAACACAAACCAGACAAAGGACAAGTGCCTGGAAAATAGGAGCAACAGCAAAAATGTAAGTGGTCCCAATGGAAAGAACATGGGCAGAAGTCACGAAGAAACATTTCACAGAAGAGGGTCTCCAGATGGCAGATAAGTTAGGAAATGAAAATTTACACAATACTAAGGGATCATGGCACGCTGCTCGGAACAGTAATAAAAAGAGGGCCACCACTGAACGCTGGCAAGCCTGTAAGATCATTCACACGTCACTCATGGGGATGTAAAATGGTGAAGTTGCTCTGGAAAAGGACCTAAGTTTCCTTAGAAAACTATATCACTCACCGGAAGCAGCTGGAGGGCGGTCACCTGCTGTGCATCCCTCAGACTCATGTCCTGAAGAAGGGATGCATCTGCTGGAACTGGAAAGAGAGGGAGAGGGCATCTCATCAAGTCCTGGGACTGTGTGCTCGGCTGCAGGAGCAGGACTGGGAGGGTGACGCACATTTACAGCTCCGGCAGGCCACAAGGATTCTGCCACTTTGCTTTCAGACACGACAACGGGTCATCAGCGGAGAAGCGCTGTGTGGGCTGAGCTGTGCGGGCTGTGCGACACCCACAGGTCCCGGGACCTCAGCTTCATCGTCCGCAATATGGGGGAAATGAAGGTGAGAGCTCTGTGGGGTTGAAGCGTCAGTACGAGCTGCCGGCCATGAGGATAGTGTGGGGCCCCAGTGCCACATACCTTACACACTTACAAGTCTGTAAACTGCAAATCTCCATATGGAAGATGATGATCACCACGAAGTGCTCCCAGAAGAGCACCTGATGCGGTGCCCTGCAGAGCCAGTACCTGACCACCCCACCTTCCCCTTTCCAGGCTTCTGGGGCCTCGGCCACATTCTAACACAGTTTCTCTCCTGTCTGGCAACTACACCCTGCCAACTACACCCTGCCAGACTCCATGAGCATGCAGTGAGCCACCTACGTGGGCAGGGCAGGAGCAGCTATGTGGGATGAGAACGGGACAGGAGCTAGCTCAGCCAGCAGTGACCCTTAGGTGTCCCAGGAGTGAAGAGCAGCCTCCCCAGTCTGATGCCAGCAGTTCAGTGGGGGGTTAACTCTGCTCTGAGCTGCCACCACAGGGCAAAGACAGTGTCTTCACTCCAAGGAGAGCGGCTTGGGAGAACAACCCTACCCACACTTTACCCCAGACACCCAGCCTCCAGAACTGGGAAAACAAATTTCTGTTCTGCAGGCTGCCCAGCGTGACCCTTTGCTATGCAAGCCCCAGTGGACTAATCCACCTAGAGTGAGTTATCACAAAACACCTACACATCTTGACTTTTAACCAAGGAGAAGCTGGAGACTTTATCTGATATGTACAGAAGTCAGCAGTTTCATACGCAGAGAAGTTTAATCTTAATAATTTCAGATAACTACAATACAATGGACTTCTGCGAGTCATGAGAAAGCACTCCAGGCCTCCTGTACTCCTTTTCCCTCTGTAACTACAGTGCAATGTGACAAATTGGTCCAACTAACCCTGGGGAGGACCCTACCTTCAACCTAACAGAACATCCCGCCATGCTTACCTCAACTAAATATCATGGGCAGCTTGGCCCCTGGGCAGCATTCTATGGCTGTAATCCTTTAACCTCAGAAAACCCCATAGGGTAGTGGTGACTGGGGAGTTGAGAAGCATGCTCCAGTCACAGCTGGAGGATTCAAAGCCAAGCTTGTCTGCTGCCACAGCCACCCACCCACACACTGCCACTCTGTACCAACAGCCAAATGTGTCCCAGGCCACGCAGGCCCCATACCCTGGGTGCACCTGCTCCCTCCAAGCATTTTCACACTTTCTTGCAGCATTGTAATCCTGTAAGCAGGAGCTGTTTAGCCAGAAAGAGGCTCAGAGAGACGCTCAGCTCCTGACACAGGCCCTAGTGGGACAGCGGCAGTGATGGCTGTCCCCCAAACCGGAAAGCCCGAGATGTGCTCTCAGATAAGATATGCAATATTGAAGACACCTGCTTCTGGCAGAGGCCCCTGGGCAGACTGGGTTCAGGGAAGATGGGATTCAGACTGGATTGCTCCAGGGATGAACCCAGGCCCTGCCCAGAAGACATAACAGGGCCCCTTAGGGCAGAGACAGGAAAACCACCTGGAGCCTTGGCCAAGAGCTCAGGCAGGCATGCCCTCCCCTCCCCTCCCCTGCTTGTACCTGGGTCCCCGCCGAGCAGCCCTGGTGGTCGGCTTGGGAGTCCCTGACCCAGGGCCAGGGGCTGCATGTCCTGGCTCTTCACGAGGTCACCCTGGGGTTCTGTCAGCAGCCGCTCCTGCTCCTGGTCTGGGGGGCTGTCCCCATCGTCTATCACCACGGGGTCTTCACAGTGCTTGAGCTGCAATCCCAGAGGGGGCTCTTAAGGGCCAGGTGAGGGCCAGCAGCTGCTCCAGGGACTGGCAAACACCCTCCACTCCTGCCTGGGCTTGCGGACCATCTCCACAGCTGAGCGTCAAAGGCTGGGCCAGGGGCACCGGCAGGGTTGTGAGGACTGACGTAACTGTGCCCCAAACAGGGGCCTTGGGGAATGGGGCCTGCTTTCCTGGACACCAGACTCCAGCAAGGGCCCTCTTCAGCCTGCTGCCCAGCCAGCCCAAACCCCTCCCTACCCGCAGGTCCTGCTCCCCTTCCCCTCTCCATGCCTGCCAGCGCCACATTCCCATCCCCGTCTCCCCCTTCCGGCCCCTTCTCACCCACTGCCAGGGTCTCCCGGGCTCCCGTTCCAAGGCCTCCACGGCGGCCACGGCCTGATCGCTGTTCTCGGGCTCCTGAGCCCGCACCCAGCCCTGGACCTCCCGGGGCAGGATGGCCAGGAACTGCTCCAGCACCAGCAGCTCCAGGATCTGCTCCTTGGTGTGCCGCTCGGGCCTCAGCCAGCCGCGGCACAGGTCGCCCAGGCGGCGCAGGGCCTCCCGGGGGCCCGCGGCCTCCTGGTAGCGGAACCGGCGGAACAGGCGGCGGGAGGACTCGGGGCTGGGGAGCTCCCCTGGGGGGCTGGGGTTTTCTCCCGGTGGGCTCCTCATTTTCCGGGGCGCCTCGCTTTCCTTTGGAGCCAAGACTCGGGGGCACAGGGCTGTGGGCATGACGGGGTTTGATGGGGTCAGCTGCAGAAGAGGACCCTATTTTCAAACAGAAATCGCTGTTTCACCGCTCCGGTCTCCTGCGGCGGTTCCCCGGGGTGGCGGAAGGGGCAAGGCCCGCGAAGACCAGCCCTGGGCCCTGGATTCGGGAGAGTGGTGGTGGGCTGGTCCTCACCGGAGGCGAGAGGAGGGCCGCCCACAGCATCATTAGGGCGCGAAGGAGGAAGGGGGCCGGGGAAAAGCAGCGGCCTGTTAGCAAGACACTGGCATTTCGCGCCTCCCGTTAGCACCAGGGCCGCATGCAGGGTGGGACTGTCAGTGGTACCTTCGGGGCAGGGCCTCCAGGACAGGGCCTGAGGCGGACCACCCAGCAGGCCGCTATCTTGAGGCTTCTGAACCGGAATCACCGTCCTTGGCCTTGGGATTTTTACAAAATGAGCTGGAAAGACAGACAGACACGCCTGGGAAAAGCCTTCTAAGTAGATCAAGGACGGGCAATCCACCCCGCTGGTGGTGCTGGGCTTGCTGGAGGGGGAGAGCCGGGATGGGGATGGGGAGGCAGTGGACAAAGCAGCGGCCAGCCCCAGGCGGGGCAGGGGAGGTCCCAGCGGGCAGCCACGTCCTGAGTTTACCAGAGAGCACTCCTATTCAAAATCCTCAGCGCCTTCGGACCTGCCTCCAGCTCACTTCAAAGTCTGGCGGGTAAACGTATGCCTTGACCTTCAACCTCGCCTCCACCCTTGTCATCTTCAAACCAGGAGGCAGGCCACCGCGCACACCTCCTGCCCTTCCTCAGGAAGGTCAGAGGTGGGGCTCAGGGTACAACCCCGCCTCTCTAGGTGTGGCTCAGGGGGCCACCGCCGCCCCAGACAACACCCGTGGCGATGGAGTAGGAGACACCACCCCACACTGTGGGCGGAGCTGAGGCCCAATAGGGGCCCACAGCTCGTCCCCAGGCCTCGGAGATCCTGGACACGCGGGTTGGAGTGGCCCCAGGAGGCCACACCTCGATCTACAGCACAGTGTGCTCCCACGGGCCCCAGGCGGGATGCGGGCCTCATTCCCATTTCACAGGAAGCCAAGTGAGGCCGAAGGGGCACCAGAACCACCCGGAGCGGCCGCCTAGCCGCAGTGTGTGCACCTCTCCGCCTTCCAACGTGCGCACACAGACTGGCATCCGGGAGCTGGGGGCGTCTGGGGCACACATCGCTGCCTGCCCCACCACCGAGTTCCTCCGGCGTCTTCTCGGGCATCTGGAACCCACGCTCGGCCCCACGGGCCCCCTTCCCCGGAGCGGCCGTCACACACCTGCGGGGCCGCAGGGTTCCTGAAGTCTCCCCCGCGGTGGGCGCCGCGCCCCAGCCTCTGCACGCGGAGCGCGTGGAGCAGCCCGCGCCGCGCTCTGCGGATCAGCCCCCAACCGGACAGCGCGCTCGTCTTTGTCGCTCCGGCACCTGACACGGAGGCGGCTCCCGGGCAGCGCCGGATGAATGAGCTAACGCGAGCCCCGGGGGATCCCCGTCGGGGGCGGGGCGGGCCTCACGCAGGTCCGGCGGGAACCGAGCCGCGCCAGCCTGGGAGAGGGGTGGCAAGCCGGGTAGGGCGGCGGGCACGCGCCCCTCGCCCCTCGGTCCCGCCACCCTGCCCGCACTCTCGCGCCCGCCCGCGGCTCGGCCGGCAGCTGCGCACCTCAGCGCCTGGAGCGCCTTCCCGGCGGCCGACTCGGCCCCCCCTCGCTGCGGCGCAAGGCCCTGGCAGCCGCTCCTCATCCTTCCGGCCCGCTCCTTGGGGTCCTCCCGCGGCGCGGTCTCCGCAGGCGTCCGACTCCGCGTCCCCTGCTCCTGCGGGAAGCCGGCTCGGCTCGGGACGGAAGACGCGGGGGCAAATGGAGGCGCCTGGAAAACAACGCAGCGCTTCCTTACCCCCGCCGCGGGGGCACCGACGCCCGACGCGGGTGCGGGGACGGAGGCCGGGCGCGCGGGCCGCACTAACCGCCGCGGCGCGTCCCCGTTGGCGGGCCGCGCAGGCCTGGCCGCCGCCGGAGCCCGCCGCCCGCGTAGGAAAGGAAAGGCCGGAGCCCTCCGGCTCCCTCCCCTGGGACACTTCCTGCTCCGCTCTAGGACCGGGGAGGTCTCCTCATCTCAGTGGTTCGCTCCTCCGCCCCCGGGCCGAGGTGTGCGCGGGGGTTGACATCCGACACCCCTGGCCCGGCCGGGCCGGCGCGCCCCGCCCCTCTCCGCCCCGCGCGCGCCCGGCCTCCCAGCGGGCTCGCGCGTGGGCGGCGGCCACGCGGGGAGGTCGGCCAGAGGTGGCGGGCGCCTGTGGGATGGAGAGGGCATCCCGGAGCCCAGCGGAATGCAGCGACTGGGGAGGAGCACGGAGGGCGCCCCGCACCGCGTTGTGCGTCGCCCCATTTCTGGTCCCTCTGTGCGCACCCCGTCTCGCGTCCGACAGGCCCAAGAACCTCGGTGACGCCCACCCCGTCACCGCAGAAGAGGCGAGGAGGGCTAGACACCGAGACGCCCCCCTTCTCCGCCTTGTGTACTGTGGGACGCCAAGGTGTCAGCCCGCGCTTTTTGGGGTGAAGCCCATTTGCGAAGTTTCGCAGTTCAAGAAGGGCTGTCCGTTTAATGGCCCTTCAGAACATCAGGGTAACCCTGGGGAGTGCAAAACGGGCTCCGTGTATCCGGCAGAGTGGGTGGTCAGGGGGCTCACTGCTCACTTAAGTGCAAGGGGGGACCACATGTGACTACAGAGGCGGAAAACGGGACCTTGACAGGAAGTCCAGTGGCAGTGAAGGGCCCGCAGGAACTGGAGCCTCTGGATCCCTAGACGGGCTGCGTACCACTGCCCTATGCTGACTGACAATTTGCTCCAAGGCCTGGAAGGGTCTTCCCGGGGTTGTGGCTGGTATTGCAGGTTGCGGTGTTTGGGAAGAGACAAGTGTCCGTTCCTGAACAGGCCTGATTCTCACCAGCCTTCTGCCTTGTCTTGCTTCTCCCTAAAGCTGGAATGCGACAGGAAGAGAAGGCAAGGAAAAGTCTCCCATCCCACAGGGAACCGGGCAACAGGTAGATTTCCCCTATTTGCTGTTTGACCAGCAAGCAGAATGAACCAGTCCCCAAAGTGGCGGGGCTGAGCAGGTGGGGAGAAGTGGATGGGCTGAGACACCAGACCCCTTAGAGTGTGGCTCCCCTCCGGTTCCAGACTCTAAACTGCGAATAATCACTCCAGAACCAGCGGAGTTCCTGGGAGCCGCCCCTGTTCCTAATGCCTGCACCCTGTGACTACAGCAGGAGATGGATCAAAGCAGAGGAGGGGAGCTCTTTTCGTGAAGAGTGATCCTTCCCCCAAGTGGCAGATGCAGGCAGGGCCATCCAGAGATCTTTTCTGGAGCCTGTGGCTACCAGCCACACCCTTCGGAATTACCTGGCCTCTGCTTCAGCTGAATACCTGGGCATCCCAGTCTCAGGGGCAGCAGCCAGGCACTGTGGCCTGAAGGAGAGGCTCGGGGAGGGAGAACGAAGAATCAGCCAGACAAACAGACAGCTGGTGGCACTGCTGTGGGGGTCCCACACCCTCTGCCTAGCTCCCAGCGCTGTGACTGGCAGGGGAGCCGGCTGTTGAGTGTTGGGCATCTGAGCTCAGATTTCTGCCCTGCCCAGTGAGGCCCTGAGGCAAATAAAATGCTAGCATACAGCCTCAGGTCAATCCCTGCTGCCTGGCCAGTTCCTTACCCTGAACAATACTTTCTGCACACCATTAAACTTAGCAGCTCAGAATTTGCCCTTAACCTGTGTCTCTTCTGCATTTTGCTCAGCACAGGGGTTAAGAGTCAGAGCACTAGAGTTAAACCCTTCCTTATCAATTCATAACCAGGTGATCTCAGGCCTACTTAACCTTTCCATCCCTCAGTTTCCTCACCCAGAAAACAGTTGATGGTGTCTGTCTCAGTGGGTGCATATGTGGGATCATTCAGTCATTCAACAAACACATACCGAACACTTATTAGGCACCCATAGCCTAGGTACCATCCCATGAACACAGCTAGCCGGGGAGCAGGGGGCAGCCAGCAAAATCAGCTGCTATGTGTGGTCAGTGCTGCAGAAGAAAAGTGGGAGCCAAGAAAGGGAAGCAACCTAAGTGTTCATCAGTAGATAAATGGATAAAGAACATGTGACACATACAATAGAATATTCAGCCATAAAAAAAGAAATCCTGCCATTTGTAACAACATGAATGAATCTAGGGGGTATTAATGCTCAGTGAAACAAGCCAGGCAGAGAAAGACAAATACCATATGACTTCACTTTTTGTGGAGTATAAAAAAACAAAGCAAAACAGAAGGAACAAAACAGCAGCAGACTCACAGACACTGAGAAGTAACTAGTAGTTACCAAGGGGGAGGGGAGCGGATGGGAGTGGGGCGAGGGGAAGGGCTGTTGAACCACTGGTACACATTTGATTTTCTTTAAAAGTGGAGCAGCATCAGGGAAGATGGTCAAGGATATAAAAGAGGTCAGGGTACTGGGCTCCATTGTGATGTTGACATCTCAGATGAGGAAGTTGATCAAGCTCGAGCCTGGTGAGATCAGCAGCCCAGGTGGAGCCCAGCATGACAGCAAAGTCCCTAAGGGTGGGGGGCACACAGTAAGGGGGCAGTGATCAAGGGGAATGGGTGTTAGAGAGTTGGCAGGGCACTGGAGGCTGTAGGATTGAAGGGCCCCCACCAGTAAGATGGTGAACTTCCGGCTTCTTTTCGGGGGGGGGGGTCCTAGGTTCCCACCGGCACCACCTGAAGCCCAATCACCTCTCGCCCCCCTCTCAATCCCAGAACCTAGCCAATAGCCACCAGCCCCGTAGAAGTAACACCACAATCACCCCATGCCCCTTCCTATATAACCCAGCACCTTTCCCTAATAAAGCGGAACTCTCCGGTGAATTGCTGCTATGTGTCGCTCCTTTCCTTTCATTGGTGCCGAAACCCGGGAGACGGGACACCCCAACTGGGCCCCGTCTTCCCCCGACACCAGCAGCAGCTTGCCCTCGTCCTCTTTTTCCGGCGCTGGCTCATCACACTCACCACTCCTCTCTGGCCTTTAGGTAAGTTTTCCCCCCGGAGTGGGCCACTCTTCCCCGAGCTATCGCAGTGCCATTGACCGTGATCGTCCGGCAAGGCCCTGACGCTCGGGGATGAGGAGGGAACGCTCCCCGCCTCAGGCCTTCACGGCTGCGGCGGACCCTCAGGCCCCTCCTCCAAAAGCCATAAATCCCCGCCTCAAGCCTTTACGGCTGCGGCGGACGCTCAGGCCCCTCCTCCGACAGTCAAACGCATTCACCATCCCTTCCATCAGTGCTGAAAGTTTTTAAGCAAAATTTCCCCGGGGTGGGCCACTCTTCCCTGAGCTATCGCAGTGCCATTGACCGTGATCGTCCGGCAAGGCCCTGACGCTCGGGGATGAGGAGGGAACGCTCCCCGCCTCAGGCCTTCACGGCTGCGGCGGACCCTCAGGCCCCTCCTCCAACAGCCATAAATCCCCGCCTCAAGCCTTTACGGCTGCGGCGGACGCTCAGGCCCCTCCTCCGACAGTCAAACGCATTCACCATCCCTTCCATCAGTGCTGAAAGTTTTTAAGCAAAATTTCCCCGGGGTGGGCCACTCTTCCCTGAGCTATCGCAGTGCCATTGACCGTGATCGTCCGGCAAGGCCCTGACGCTCGGGGACGAGGAGGGAACGCTCCCCGCCTCAGGCCTTCACGGCTGCGGCGGACCCTCAGGCCCCTCCCCCGACAGCCATAAATCCCTGCCTCAGGCCCTCACGGCTGCAGCGGACCCTCAGGCCCCTCCTCCAAAAGCCATAAACCCCCACCTCAGGCCTTCACAGCTGCAGCAGACTCTCAGCCCCCCCCCTCCAACAGCCATAAATGAGGTGACTCCTTTGCGGATGAGAACGCTCCTTTTCCCGCTCCCTCCTCCTTCTGTTCCGTCCGCCGAAACCTGTTCCGTCTGCCGAAAACGCCTAGCGCTAGGTACCTCGTGACTCCGGCACTCTGCCTTCTTAGGGAAGTCTGGGTGACGACCCACACTTCCCAAGAAATTCCGACTCGTATACGAGTTTCCGCAGACCACCAAGGATCATCGGGGACGCCCTTTGTCTCCTTGTGGTCTGCCTCCAGTCCGAGGATCTCCGTTCGTCTTCCCCTGTTTGTCTCCTTCTCTGTCCTTTAGCCATGGGAGCCTCCTCATCCCTCCCTGAAAGTTCACCTCTTGAATGCCTGCTTAAGCATCTGGCTACCCTCTCCCTGACGCCTGATATAAAACCAAAACTTCTCCGTAAATATTGCTCCCAAGATTGGCCGACATACCCCCTAGACAATAACAACCAATGGCCCGCAGGGGGAACTCTTGATCCTAACATCACTCGCGATCTTTTTAACTACTGCCAGCGCCTGAAAAAATGGAAGGAGATTCCCTATATCGAAGCTTTCCGCCTCCTCCTCTCCCCGCCCCCTCCCAAGTTCTCCTAGCCTGCAAGCCGCCGCCCCCGCAGAAGCCTCCCGTTCACTCCCTTCCCCTTCTTCTCCTACAACAGCCCTTCTCCCTTCCTCCCCAACCATCTCCTCCCCCATCTCACCTCCTCCACCTTCATTCCCTGCAGATTAAGCCTGAGCCTTTCAGCCCCCCTTTAACTAGGTCCCAGGGGCCTCCTCCGTCTTTGCCCTCATCACCTGTTTCTCCCCTGTTAGGGACCGCCTTTGTCTTCTCACATGTTTGTAGAGAGAATGGGAAAGCACCTCCCCCCATGTCTGAACGCAGCATGGGAAAGCACAAGCTAGAGAACAACCGGTGCAGTCCTTAGAAGTTATCTGTCCACAAAAACATATCTTGCCAAGACTCCTCACTCTGAAAATAGGGAGACCTTGAAGATGTGTAGAAACACCGCCCCTGCTTCTAGCTATGCCCTTCCCCCACTTGCCGATGTGGCAGGAATAGAAAACAACGCATTCCATAAGCAATTAACTGGAGCCCTGCTGTAGCTCAGTAGAGCATGGGACTCTTAACCTCAGAGTCATGAGTTCAAGCCCAACTAAAGCAGCAGAGGCAAGCAGCTGGGCTGC